GGGCCGGCAGCGGTGGTGCCCTGGGAGGTAGACCAGAGCTTTGGAGGATGCTTTTGCAAGTTACACCCTCGGAGTGAGTGCTCACCACTTCTTGGCCCTCGAGGGCGCCCTGGCAATAAGGGGTTTGGGGAGGCCCTGGGGGCAGTGATGTTTCCTGGGAGTCTGCTTTCTCACTAGCAGTGCAGCCCCTAAAACCGGCGCCTCGTTCGCGCCCCTTTTTTTTTCCATTCCCACCTCCTGCCGTGTCCTTAGCCGCCCGTGACCTTTTGCACTCGTGATTGCCTGGCCGGGGAACCCGGAGAACTGCAGCAGGTGCTGGGAGAAAAGCTTGTCCCGTTGACCTCACTCCGGGATTGCGACCCTCTTCCCCTTCACCTGGAAATGCTAAACACTAAACGAATCCTGGCATTGCTTCTTTCCTTTTGGCCTTAGGTTTCTGATCTCCTGCAGCCTCTTCTTGCCTCGCGCTGCGCAGGCCTTGGCAGCTGAGGCCGGTTTACCCCCGTTGAGTCGTTCCTTCATGGGCTTTGCTGCCCCCTTCACCAACAAGCGAAAGGCTTACTCGGAGCGCAGGATCATGGGGTGAGCATCTTGTTCTGCCCTCCAAACTAAACATACCCAGGGTAGAATGGGAGGGTACCAGTAGTGGACAGGATTCATTCCTGGCCATCCCTCTTCTGAGCTCATCTTTTTTTATCTTTCCCTGCCTGAGTTTCCATCCTTCATTACCATGCATGTACATTAAGTGGAACCGTAGACAAATACCAAGACAATAAGGCATTCTTCTGTAATTGCCTCTCCCCACTTCAGTACTGGGGATTGAACCAGGACCTTCACACAACTATATTCCAGCTTTTTACTTTTAAATTTTTGAGATAGGCTCTAAGTTGCCAAGTAGCCCAGTCTGAGCTCTAGCTTGCTTTCCGGCCTCAGCCTCCCAGAATGCTAAGATTACAGGCATGAGCTACCAATACATGTTTGATGATGTGGATGGAACCCATGACTTTGCCCTGAGCTATGCCCCCACGCCCCACTTTGAGAAAGGGTCTATTCTCCAGCCTGGGCTCAAACTTGCCATCCTTATGTTATGCTTCAGTCTCTCAGAGCTTGGATTATGGGCTCACACCACCTCACGTGATTTTGACCTTTTTAATGTTTTAAGTAAATAGAATAGTTTTGAGTACCTGCTATGTGCTAGCAGCTACATAAATTTTCTCATTTTTCAACAAACCTATAAATTAGACGACACTCGTGACCTCTAATGTATAGATGAGAAAATGGAGGCACAGGTAATTTACCTAAGGTCACACTCATGAATTTGTACAGCCAGGACCTGATGTTTATGTGGTTAGTAAAACTAACTACTCTCATTCATTTCTCTTGGGTTCAAAATAATGAACGCAAAAACATTCTGCAAACTGCAAATTCTAAGTTAACTTTAATATCATGGGGACTTGCACATTTGCTTTCAGGAAATCATTTATCCAGATTTACCTATCCAGGTGTCTAGTTCCTAAAGTGTATGGTTAGTGTGCAAAGGTGAGAGTTGAGGGCCAGTGGCAAGGAAACTAACTCAGCTGGCAGTCCCTTGGCCTGCGATTCCTCTTTCCCTAGGTACTCAATGCAGGAGATGTATGAGGTGGTAGCCAATGTCCAGGAGTATCGTGAATTTGTGCCCTGGTGTAAGAAGTCTCTGGTGGTGTCCAGCCGCAAAGGTCACCTGAAGGCTCAGTTGGAGGTTGGGTTTCCACCTATCTTGGAGCGCTACACCTCTGCAGTTTCCATGGTCAAACCTCACATGGTCAAGGTGAGGCCTATCTAGGAAGGTATATTTAAAAGTTGTATTCCTTAGTATTTTCACAGTCAAGGGCTATTTTGGCTTTTCTTGAATCTCTCAGTGTCAAGTATTTCCCTAATAAAAAATTAGAAGGGAGGAAAACTGGTTTTTGTTTTGGTGGTGCTAGGGATTGAATCTAGAACTTCATGCATGCTGCAAGTGCTCTATTCTAACCCCTATTTCCTTATCGCCTCATACATATACTTAGTAATGTGATTTAACCAGTGGATTGTGCTATTATTCTAGGCTGTTTGCACTGATGGCAAGCTCTTCAACCACTTAGAGACTATTTGGCGATTTAGCCCCGGTATTCCTGCCTATCCCCGAACCTGCACTGTGGACTTCTCGGTGAGTCAGGAGGCTTCATGACAGGACTAGGACTGGGGGTAAGGAAAGAGTGGAGGTACTTTTTTTTTTTTTTTTTTTTTTTTTTTTGTACCAGGGATCAAACTCAGGACCTTGTGCTTATTATGAGGCAGGCATGGTGCCACTGAGCTAAATCCCTGGCCCAAGGGCTATTCTTTAAGTATAGTTAGCATTTAACCAGGTGTGGTGGTGCACATCTGCAATCTCAGCTTGTTGGAGGCTGAGGCAGGAGGACTGTAGTGAATTTGTGGCCAGCCTGGACTACAGAGTTGAAAGCCATACATAGTAAGACCCTGTCTT